GAACGCGAAGGTAAAGGGGGTTCGAGAGGGTGGAAATAAAAAGTTCTGCAAATTTGAGTGGTGGTTTTAACGCTGGTCTACGAACTACCCCTGGCTGACCGTCTATAAAACCGCCGGCTCGCCTACGTCAATGCCACCGAAGGCGATTCCCAGCTTCGATCGATTGTAATTAAATGGAAACGCTTTCACCCTCCCGTGCTGGGGCTCCTTACCCGCTCCCGCTCGTCATCGTCTTTTTATCGCGACGCGTTGAATACTACTTCACCTCTTCATGAGGGGATGATCGCGGGGAACTGGTGTCATGCAAGGTCCGCAAGAAAGAGGCTGAGAAGAGAGCGATGTTAATGAGTACTCGGGCTTAATTGCTCGCGCGTTCCCTTACACTCGAACGGATCAGAAGATGCTCCTCCCTTCGTGAATCTCTGTAGCCCGGCTGCGACTGCTTGTACTTCGGCTAACACCGTGGGTGTGACGATAAAGTATCGAGAACAGTTCGTTTGAATATTTCACTTGGACAGCATTGACCCGCGTAATTCCAAGGGACGCGAGAAGAAGGCGATGAAAGGGAAAACCTCAACTTTTTGCGAGGAGGCTCGACAACGCGCCAGGGCTGTTTTTAGGGGGAAAACCCCGAAAAGTGGCGTGCATATGCGGAGGCAGAAGAAGGAGTGGAAGGAAGAATCTTTCTTGCGGATAAGTGTGCGATATACAGGGTGTTTCCAATCTAGTGGTACGGAAAAGAGGGTGGTGACATTTTTCTTCTTGTTCTCTTATTACCTGTTCATATCTGTACAGTTCGATCGTTCAACTTTGGAACATCCTGTACGTAGCTCCCATGAAATAGATTCCATATATAATATCAATAACATTTCGCTACGAATGAAGGAAAAAGAAGGGGGAAAAAAGAGGAGAGAATGTACAGACATGAGACCTTTTCAGACAGGCCGAAAGAGGAGGATCCTTTCACTTTGTGTCGTTCTCCTAAGAGCATTAGAACCGCTTCTCTGGCTCTGCTAGATCGGCAATGATTTCGAAATGGCATTCACGGCTCTCCATTCACAGTAAGCTGTAATACCGCAAATGTGATCGATTGTAAGTGCAGATTCCCGGACGAACTGTGGAAAAAAAAAAGAAAAGAAACGCACCGATGCACTTTCGAGAAAACAGTGTAGCATAGGATGACAGAACTTGTTAAACAATGTTCTCTTTTTACAATGTTTTTGCCTGGTCCAATTCTCTCTTTGCTCTATCAGTGCCGTAGGAAGTTGTTCACACTAGCCCAATAAATCAAATTACAATATATGAGTAAGCAAGTACTTTTGGGATCAGACAAACTCCTATCGGTGTGGGGAGTAGGACAGAGAATAATTCTTCGTTAACAATTTCGAGAAATATTTCTCGCTCGTGGTACCTATGTACATACGTCGCGGAAGAAGTTCACGTGAAAAATCTGCTAGATCGTGCGAAAATCAAGACACACATCCATTCAGAATGATAATATAAATTACAGATGCGAACACGAGAGTGGAATCCATAAATCAGCGAAGTGCAAGGAACCGCGGGGTGAATGAGAATAAAAACGAGTATTTGAACGCAGGTGAATACACATTGAAATCGGACATAAAATCGATGCGTTTACCCTATAGAAGTGGAGGGAGGAAACACCGTGTCCCGAAGGGTTCCCGTGAACGGGAAAAGTGGGGGGAGAGAGAGAGTGAGGGTGGGAAGGGTTGGGTGAAGAGAGTGGTGAGGGGGACGTGATCGCAGCGTCGTCGCCGTATTAGAATTTAAAAGCGTCTCGTTGACGTGACTCCTACCCTTCTGGCTTTCAACGTCGCCGATAACGATCGACATTAATTAAAGTAATCGTCTTAGCGATGGGAGCGCACAGGTTTCGCCGAGAATAAATAATTTATGAAGGCTCGAAGTGAGGTGGCGTTGCGAAGGGCGAACGACGAAGGACAAAAGGGGAAGCCGTTACGGAATACATATTTATTCACCTAACGGGCGTACATTTTTTTGCATAATGTGCGCCAAGTGCATCGACGTTGAAACTACCTAGGAACTGCAGCGAAGAAGGAGAGAACCTCTACGAGGTTCATTGAATATTGAGATTCTAAGAAAATCTTAATGGCTGTTTAATGAATTACCACACGTCGATAAGTATGATCGTTGAATAATTTTAAGTTACGGTACAGGGACTTCGTTTGTCCGAACCTCTAGATGGACAAGTTTTACTCGGATAATTAGAGATTCGCTTGTTTTTCTTCTACTTCACTCTCAGTTACGAGTACATATAGTAACTGACGGTAAAGAAAAACTGATTCGGATAATAACAGTTCTACCGTTATATTCGAATAATGCTTTATCGGAGAGTCTAACTGTTATGACATTCTATGTAAAAAAAAAATAAGAAGAAACTGTTGTGAAATTAGTACAGAAAAGTTATAGCATAAAAATTATTTTCTTCACTTAACCTAGTAATGCTAAAGAAACTTTCACCTTTGTTAATTTGTAAATCAAAATTTTCCATTTGGTTTTTTACGAAATGAACGAGTGAATTTTTTTACGAAAAGTGTACTGATATTCTTATCGGTTGTGCGTTCAATCGAGGAAAATTTTGTCTAACCTTTCACGAGATTTATGGCATAATTAGAATGTTTATTTCTGATACTGTCTGTCACAAACCATTTGATTGTCAAATATCTCCTGTTGCTCGTTCCCGTTTTAGCGAGTTTGAACAGTGTAAATCTTAAATTTACAGTGCAAATTATATCACATACCATACGTTAATTCTTAACATTAATTGAGAGGCTCTTACCAAATTAGTCGTGCAGCCAATGCGTGTAAATACGTAACGTGCTCGAAACTCCTATTTCAGCATTAAATTCCACCGTAGTATTGCATTCCATGAACATTTTCTGCAATATCATAGGACTGATAATATTCGACGTATTCACTGGTACACATCCTATGATCATATTTGAGATTATTTCTCTTGTTTTTTTTTTTTATTTCACCTTTTATACTGGTTCCTTCAGATGATACACATCACTTCAGGTGTACACATCACCATCTTGTTGATCATTAATTACGCGCAAATTCTAACACCAATTGTCACGTGACACTTGAGATATTATTTTTAAAACACTGCGAGCAATACAAATACTTAATCGAAAGAAGTGTACACTTCTCCTACTGAAATATCAGCAATAAACTGATTGTCAACCGTAAAAATGATTAAAACTAACACGTGACCCTCTTAGAGAGTATACTTCCGCCATCTAAGGGTGGAATTATATTATTAAACTGAAAGCAATCGGTAATAAAACATTACTACTATCACAGACGAGGTACAGACACAGTCGACGTATAGGACAGACCTTGCATCACAGACGACGTACACGATAGACCTAGCATCTTATGGGACCTGTTGTCCGGGGCTTCGAGGCCAAGAAGACCCTTACCATTTTCGTGTCACTACCAACGTTACCGATTCTGCATAGAATAAGATTACAACATGAGTAGTGGTTGGAATTAGAATTAAACGTAACTATGAAATTACAAATAAGAAAGTAACGTAATTGAACAGGCAAGGTACAGGATAGACCTTGCACCTAATGTATTTTTGTGTTCAACGTTCTGAAATACCGATCGTGTAAAAAATCAGAGTTTTTGTTATGCCCTCTACGATATAAAGCGGTGAGTTTAGGAATTACATACAATTCAACCATCAAAGATGGTAAAATCGACAGATGCAAAAGATCCTCTTTTATTAAGTTAGGATATAAAGATACATACATATATTGGATTGCGTGAGTAGAATTGTTTACGATCTTCTGACAGCAGTAGCACACGTGCATGTGATGAATTATCTACTAATAAACAATTACGTTACTTTCTTATTTGTAATTTCATAGTTACGTTTAATTCCAATTCCAACCACTACTAATGTTGTAATCTTATTCTATGTAGAATCCGTAACGTTGGTAACGACACGGAAATGGTAAGGGTTTTCTCGGCTCCAAAATCCCAGACAAAAAGTCCCATAAGATGCTAGGTCTATCCTGTACGTCGTTTGTGCCTCCAGCTTCCTACTCCCACCTTGAGTCGATAAAGTAGATCACGTCTACGTAACAATCCGCTACACTGAAAAATTCTCTATCCTTGTCTAACTCTATTACTTTCCTTGTCTGTCTTCCCTATTGCTATCCTCATCATCCCTATTATATTTAATTGATACTTGCAATCAATTTTTAATCGTTTTAACATTATTAGTAATGTAGATAGTAAAATACAGTTTCTGGCTTATTTTCAAGTATTTTAATTATAGAATAATTAGTGTTTCTTGTTAAATAATAATTTCAGGTGTGCCTGATCGACCTCTACAAACAAAAATGATAATCAGCTATAGTAGTGACATCTTGCATAGACCAAATCAAAATATTTCAATTTGTAAACTATATATATAAATAAGCATTAATATTTTTAACTGTTATCATTAGATTTAAAAAAATAGCACACGTGTATGTTGTAATTTCTTTACAGTATTATTGTTCCTTTACCCTTTCAAGTAAATTTATAAAATATAAATTGGAACAAAAATAGCAATGTAAATGTAGCAAAATGTTATGGTTTAATTATCCATAAAAATAAAATAGAATCCGCGAAACTGGTTTGTAAGATAAAATACAACCCTACCTTTCACTACAGTACTGTACAGGTTTTTCACCGACAGCTAGTACAAATCATTCGATACGCTTTCACCGACAACGATTGCATTACCTTGCATTGTATTACTTTATTCATAAGAACTACAGTATTAGGATTTCATTACCATGTCGCTCTGGAAAAAAGTCTTGCAAATTACATTCCATTGGCCTGTAAGACAATTGCATACTTCAAAAGTTCAGTAAGTAATATATATCGAATTTTTAATCAGAAAAAGATTAAGAATGTATATTAAAATTAAAATAATATTTACAACAATATGATTATTTTAGACAAAAAGCTGTCATAATAAATGGTAAACAAATAGCTGATGAGATTCAGAATGAATTAAAAACAACTGTTCATACTTGGATAAGTGACAATAGAAAAAGGCCTAAATTAGTAGCTATAATAGTAGGTAATAATCCAGCTAGTAAAGTATATGTTGCAAGAAAAATGGAAGCTGCAAAATTTATTGGTAAGATGCTAATTAAGTTTACATAGTTATATAGTGTCGATAGCTTTAAATGAAGATAATTTGTGCATTAATTATGTTAATATTAAACAATTTAAAAATAATATATGTATAGATAATATATTTACTTTATTGGTGACTCAGGAATTGAAAATTACACTATTCACTTAGAACAAAATAGATCACAACAAGATCTTATTAAGGAAATTAATAATTTAAACGAAGATGAAACTGTAGATGGAGTTCTTGTACAATTGCCACTAACAAAGCATATGAATGAACACAAAGTATGTCAGGCAATTGCATCAAATAAAGATGTTGATGGTTTCAATTTAGAAAATTTAGGTAGTTTAGCACTAAATAGCAATGGGATTGTTCCTGCTACTGCTTTGGCTGTAAAAGAATTAATAATAAGGAGTAATATAGACACCTTTGGAAAAAATGCAGTGGTAATAGGAAGATCTAAACATGTTGGTTTACCAATTGCATTACTTTTGCATGCTGATAGCAAAGGTATATTATTTAGTAATATAATGTAATATTGTAAACTCTTACTTCAGAATTATTGTGTAGGTGAAACAAGTGCATTGGATATGACTACAACTATATGCCATCGTCATACTCCTCACACTGAATTAGAAAAATTTACAAAATTAGCAGATGTAGTGGTTGCAGCAGCTGGTATACCTGGTCTAATTACTAAAGAAATGATAAAACCTGGAGCATGTATAATTGATGTAGGGATAACAAGAGTAAAAATGGATAACAAGTTCAAATTAGTTGGAGATGTAGACTTTGAAAATGTAAAAGAAATTGCTGGACATATAACTCCAGTGCCAGGAGGTGTAGGCCCTATGACTGTAACAATGTTAATGAAAAATACAATTTTAGCAGCTAAAAGGAATTATGAAAATTCAAAACAATTTGAACTTAATAAAACTGAAGCTCCTATATTAATGGTATAACTTACAATACAATATTAATAACAATATAAACATAGGTGATATATCATTTATTATAGATATTTTTCATGAAAAAAATATATTTTATGATGCTTAATATAGTTAAAAAATTGTAATAATTAAAATGTTTAAAAATGAACCCACAATAATCTACTTAGAAAACAAGTACCAAGTGAATATAAACTAGAGTTGGGACTATCGATTATTAATATGTTATTGATATCTTATTGATATTTAACCATATATCGATAATATCGTTAAGATATCGTTAAGGCGAATAGAGAGAAGAGTCACCGAACTTGACACAAATAGAATGTAGAGATGTGACTATCAATACTGTTATCGGTAGATATCGATAATATCGTAATGTTACCAATAATCATTAAATATTGTAAATTGTATATTATAAATATAAACGTAATACACATATATACATATAATGATTTTTGAATCAATTCATACTTTATTAATGTAGTTTTTTAATCAGTATTACATTCCACACACTTTGCACTTTCTTATCAAAATCTCGGTTAGAAATATATTTATATATCGTTTAGGATCTGATGGTCAATTTTCTATTTAGATTCGCTTGTGCTGTTTCTCATAGTCCTCTTACCAGAATACACCTTTGCCTTCCTCATTCTGTGGCCAGCTCCTTTAGGAACAATATTCATATCCTTAAAGCAACGCAACATCTGGTATAATAATTTTATATACATTACAAAATATACAAAGTATAATATATAAATACGGTAGACGATATTCTTATGTTTTTTATTTTATAGGTATTTAAAATGTAACGTCATTAGTCGGAAATCTGATCCACTCATGTGGTGAAAGAACGAAGGTGTTACAAATTTTTCACGTCTTAAGATTATAGCAATCAAATATTTATCCATTCTAACGATTTCTGTTCTAAGTGAAAGACTATTTTCTAAAGCTGGACAGATTCTATCCGATAGAAGAAATAGACTACAACCAAAACATACAAACATGCTATCTGTAATTAGCTTCAATAAAAACAAACATACTTAAATGTTAAAATTATTATGCATTCCACTCTATACTTCAACCACTTTTGCCTCTATTCGCCTTAACGATATTATCGATATATATCCAATTATCGGTAATATTTCGATATTATCGATATTTATCGATAACGATATCGATAGTCACACCTCTAATATAATCGCGTTTTATAAATTTTTATTGCATTTATTTAGCACTTTTTAATTTGTTAAATATTACAAATTTCACAAGTAACAATTTCAAGTAATTAAGGGTATCCATAATACATTTGCATTCATTACTATTTTATACATGAATTATAAATTTAAATAATATTGCAAGTTAATGAAATATTTAAAAAACCTAATATAATATGTACTATATACACGAATTTAATAAAATTTATACAAAAAAAGGATTCCTGATATTATTAAAAAGATAAGACAGATCAATGAAAGTACTGAAATTATTATTAATCATGTCTACGTGATCTATTTACTTGAACTTTAATATCATAAATGTTTAATAGAAAAAAAATATTCGAACGATGATAAGTAAGGTTATATCTTCTTTTCCTTCATATTACTGAAACTGTACAGAAATAAGTATTAAGGGTGTTTATATTCTTATAATTAAAAATATGTTCTTATCTAATTTCACTTTTCATGTTAAGTCAAGTCATAGATCAGTGTTTTTAATCACTCTAAAGCTTTCAAGGCATAACAACCTGAAATTTTTCACATCCAGCTCGATAAACATGAATCGTCCGAAAGTTTTGATTACTCGATCGGACATTCCAACTGTAGGATTAAATTTACTTAAAGAACAGTACGTATTTTTAAAATATTCCAAAATATATGCTTCAAACACGTTTAATCGTGTTAAATATGTAACACGTTTTTTCATGTTTCATCGCATTGAATTACGCGTATATACGTCTATATATATATATATATTATTAAATTCACTTGCTTCATTCAAGTTTTAAATATTTTGAATAAATATTATATACTGTTTCCTATTTTTAGTTTGTATGATTCATATTGATAAAATTGCTAGTGTTATCAACTTATTTTTTCATTTCGTATTTTAGGTGTGATGTTATTATATGGGAAAAACCTGAACCAATCCCTAGATCTGCATTATTATCAAAAATACAAAATGTAGATGGAGTTTATTGCTTATTGACAGACAAAATAGATGCAGAAGTTTTAGATGCTGCTGGACCACAATTAAAAGTTGTAGCTTCTATGTCAGTTGGTGTTGACCATTTAGATTTACAAGCTTTAAAAAAGAGAAACATTAAAGTTGGTTATACCCCTGGTATTCTAACAGATGCAACAGCTGAATTAACTGTAGCATTATTATTAGCTACCTCCAGAAGACTGATAGAAGCAAACAGAGCTATTTACAAGTATGAAACATAATATATCTTTAATAAATACTAAATTGTATAATTAAACATGTTTCACTTGAAATATAATTCACAGAGGTGAGTGGAAAGCATGGTCACCTACTTGGATGTGTGGTCCTGGATTGTCTGGATCTACTGTTGGAATAGTAGGATTAGGTCGTATTGGTACTCAAGTTGCAAAATGCCTCAAAGGCTTTAATGTTAATAAAATATTATATACAAGTAGAAATGTTAAGCAAGAAGCATCTGAATTTGGAGGGGAAAAAGTAGAACTTGATCTATTGCTGCAAACGAGTGATTTTGTAATTGTTACAACAGCTTTAACCACAGAAACAAGACAAATGTTTAACCAAAGTGCATTTACAAAAATGAAAAAGTCTGCTATATTTATAAACGTTAGTAGAGGAGAAGTTGTTGATCAACCTGCTCTACTAGAAGCTTTAAAAAATGGAACAATCCAAGCTGCTGGTTTAGATGTTATGACTCCTGAACCAATTCCATTAAACAGTGAATTATTAAAATTAAATAACTGTGGTAAGTGTAACAAAGATTATCAATAAAATTTGTTAAATTATTAAAAACTTATCATAAGATTAATGAGTTTTTTGTCTTCTAGTAATATTACCCCACATTGGTAGTGCTGCTATAGAAACGCGAGAGGAAATGTCAAGAATTACTGCTAAAAATATTATTGCAGTCTTGATAGGAAAACCAGCTGAAATGCCAACTCCACTTCAACTATAAATGCCACTTGTATTAAATATTCGAAATTCATTTTTAAAGCAAATATAAATATTTAAATAAAACTAAATTAGCTTTAAACTTACGTTATTATATATGCTCATACCACAATGCTTCATATAAATATAATCAATAACTAAAAATCACATATTAATCTCACTTTTCTTATGTATTTATACGTGTGTGTGTGTGTGTGTGTGTGTGTGTGTGTGTGTGTGTGTGTTTTATCTCAATCAGTGAAATATCTTTTAAGGAAGTGATGTTAGGAAAAAGATGTTTTAACAAAAGTTGTTTGGTATGGAGGGGGACGTTATGTGGTGTAAATATTTTTTTTGTACCAGGTATGATAGGGGAGATTTCAAAGTCAGTTTAATTTTTTTAAATGGAATGCTATATTTTTTTATACATAACATGATAGTGTATGTTAAGACGAGTTCAACGAAGTGCCAACAAAGTCATTTTCTTTCATGGAAGGTCGGAAAATTGCGAAAAACCGGGAGTCGGATCACCACACGTTCCTCACTGTCGCGTCGGCCCGCTAAGCCTATTTCACCTTGTATGCAACTAAACCAAAACAGACACGACTATTAGAGAAATTCTCTTCCTCTGAAGAAGTTACTATCAAGTAAAGCTAGCACATAGTTAAAAACTATAAATTAATTACGTGTATTTATACCTACCAATATGTTCAATTTTGAATTATTGAAAACTTCTTTCTATGGGTATCCCCTCCATATGTCTTCCATTATTGTACTCGTTGAACTCGTATTAACATACACTATCATATTATGTATAAAAAAATGAAACTGACTTTGAAACTTCCCCTTTTATACCAGGTACAAAAAAAATATTTACACCACATAACATCCTCCTCCTCCATACCAAACAACTTTTGTTAAAATATCTTTTTCCTAACGTCACTTCCTTAAAAGATATTTCACTGTATTGAGATAAAACAGACACCCTGTATATATGGAAATGTTCAAAAAATGTATTCTATTTTATGTATTGACTATCATTACAGTGCCTTCACTTTTCTGAAATATCTGATCTTAATGCTTTTAGTAATACTAAACTTTGCTCATATACAGTAAAATGTAATGCTGTTGCTGCAGTAGCTTTTAATTGACTTGGTATCAAACCTTTAAATAATCCTCCCACTCCTTCTTTTTTTAATGTTAATTTTAAACAATGTATAAGTCCCATACATTCAAAAAAAGAACCAAAACCTTGTCTACCATGTTTGAATCCTTGTATCTGCAATCTTTTTCTACTAAGATCAAGAGGATATACTGCAGTTTTAGCTAATAAACCAGCAGCACTGCCGGATATCATAGAATTGTAAAAACTAATGTTGCTTTCATTGTAATATTTTTTATATATATCACTGAAACATCCATAAAATGCAAACTGCAGACCAGTATGTGGTACAATTTGTAATAAAGTTGGTAGTAATCCATAAAAAAAGACCTTTGGAGATTCATGTCTTATAATACAACTGAAAAAATATTTTATAGAATAGAATAATACTAAGAAAAAGTAACTTTAACAACTTTAAACTTGCCTGCAGGAATGAAAAATTCCTTTGTAAATTGAATGGTTACTTGATTGTGCCACTAATCTTGTTCTTATAGTATCAAAAGGAAATGATGTAATTGTAGCTAAAAAACCAGCACCTGAACCCGCTACAAATTGTGTTGAATATTTCCATTCATTTAACAATGAAAAATTATTAAAAGCAGTTATAAG